TATGATTTTATAAATGTTGCAATTAATCGCTGATTTTCACCATTGAACACCATTGTTTTTGATATTGGCCTAATGCCTATAAATGCCAAACTTTTATACATTTGAGTCCCTCAACCTAATCGAGCCGTCTACAGTGATCACGCATAGCAGAGTCGATTAATTTATTGGAAAAGACAATCTTGAAAAGAAATTGCTTTGTTTTCGTAGGGTCACTCGATGTAAAGGGATCCACTGTGTGGGTTGCGCTGTGTAGTTCAGTTCTATTGGATAGCCCAGTATCATTTGATACACTTTGCTCTGCTTTTTTGTAGATTTTTGCTCTCAAAGTACACAATATAGACAGATTTGGCATAAGACTATCAGTTTTAGGTTAGGTCACCCTGGCTAATGTCATCAAAACTTGTTAAAGTCAATATTAGTTTGAGGACCATGTCACAGTTTCACTTTAAATATTTTATAATTGTTCATTTTACTAAGTAATTTTCAGTAGCTCCGGCGGATTGCTAGTGAAATATTTAGGACTGTACATGTTGTTGAAGCTCCATCAGCCAACCAGCATTGTCATGATATGATTGACTTATGGCACTTTTTGTGGCTCTAGAGCTATTAGTTAAATAACAATCACACCTTACGCAATGAACCACTATGAGCAAAGATGGCAGATTTTTAACTCAAATTCAAATCCTGTGCCAGCTAGGGATGCTCTGATTAATTGAGCACTGATTAAAATTAGCTGATAAATGAATTTGATGCATGGTCTCTGAACTCCTCTGAACTTGTCCATAACGTAAACTAATCACATGTTAATAACACATAAGATGCAAAACTCACATTGTGAAAGGGGCTGTGAATATGAAATGCTTGTGCAACCTTTGTGTCAGTCTACATCAGAAGTAAGTTGCCAGAAATGTACAGGATTACAGAGTTTTATTTTACAAATTACTCAGAAAGTTACTGTGAAATCATGCGAATTCAAGCTGGCCCATGTTTGTTTGTTTATTTGTTTGTTTGTTTGTACAAATTATTACTGTGAATAAACCGCAAAATTATGCTAAAATCAGTGTAACAACATTCTTTCTGCACTTCTTGGAATGCTTAGGATTTCCCAAAACAGCATTGAGTTCACCGCGTAGGCCTATCTCTCTCTTTTCAATCCTCAAGCAGCTTATTCTCTCCCGGGAATAACTAAAACGAGAAGCAGGTGTTAGACACTGAACTTGACCTGTACTTGCTCCGCAGACTTGCAAATTAGCTGATTTTGAGGTAGTCAAACTATTCTACACTGTAAAAAAATTCCGTAAAACTACGGTACAATGTACCATATAAATTTGAAGGATTTTTCCGTATTTGTCTTTTACAGGTCATTTACCCGTATTTTGAATTACGCGTTGCATTGTGGGAACAAGAACCTGGCAGCGCGAAAAGTTTAAGGCGCAACCGCCATTACACACGCAGATGACCGCGGCCAAAGTTGCTTATTAAAGTCGGGTTTCGGTTGTGTGGAAGCCATTCTGACACTTCTGTGGTAAAATACGAAATTTATGTTCAAATAAGCTGTTAACGTAACGTTATTTAGTTGCCATCTGGCATGTTAGGCAAATGAATGTCGGAGCCGTCACGTTTATCATTTTATGCATATCGTCACACATAAATTTTTTTAGTATACACTCGTGGAGGTTCCCTGATATATGTGTTATAGTCTGTCTCGTTGTAATTTGGTTTATTTACTTTTATTTGTCAGTGATGCGGTTTATTTCTTGACGAGCGCATCCGTTAACCAGTTGTGATAAAATGCAGTACTAACGTTAGTGTTTTTGGAGCAATTTAATGCCTTCAAACAAAAGCTACCAGAGAAATCGTCAAGAAAAGTAAAGGCCATTAAGACCTGCTTGATTTAAAAGGCATGAAGATACAACGTGAAGATACCGTGTGTGAAGATGCAGTAACAGTGACAGTTGGATCAAGGAAAACACCACCACCTTTTCTGCCAGACGAGGTAAGTTAACGTTATGTTTACGTTAGACTTGTTTTTGTTTTAGACGACACACACACACAACTTTAAACCCCAAATAATGACCATGAAATATTAATTTACATTTAACATGACTGCTATTATCTACTCTTCTGCCTGTAACGTTAGGCATTCTTTAAAGTTTACCAGATCCCTCCTCAGTTTGTTTCATAGTGTTTCTGTTGTTTTATCTATTGACAGGACTTTGCTGCTGTAGTTTGCATCCCAAGCACCACCTGCATGCTGCTTATGGGTTTGTATTTTGTTTTATTAGCATTTTTTTATTATTATTAATCACTATGAGTGTTCAATACTGCCAACACACACATTTCAAGTCTGAGGAAAAATGTTGATAGAAAAAGTTGGTTGCTGAATACCCCCTTCAAAGATGTGTATGCTTACATGGTCAGTAGAAATACAAATTGTATAGGGAAGATTTAAACAAATTGAGCGTCAGCGTCAGTTCTGGCAGGCCAGGTAGTCAAGCCGCTGCTTATGCTATTTGCTATCAACACTGTCCCGTCAGCTGATCTGCTCCAGCTGAGCCGCATTAGCTGGTTAACTCCCCTCGCTGCTCAATGGCCAAAGCTCAAACAAGGCGCCCTATTTAAGCTCATTCACCTTGCTCATACATGCTCGCTGCTCGCTCTGCTGGCTCGCTGCTCGCTTCTGCTGGCTCGCTGCTCGCTTCTGCTGCAAATATTGACACAGGACTCGACGTGATTCATTCTCCATTCATCTCTGAAAATCTTCACGAAGCTAAGTTCCTTTTTTCATTGCTAAAAGCTATCAGTGTGTTGGCAACATGCTTCTTGTTAATGCTATCAGTGTGTTGGCAACATGCTTCTTGTTAATGCTATCCGTGTGGCATTTGGGCTATCTAACTAGTCGTTTTCATTAAAATGCTTATGCGATCATATTGGCTACGTGCGTTATCTGTTGTCATTGGCAACTGATCGCGTTGCTCACGCTGGCTTTTACCACTATGCAGCGCAGATTCAAACAGCTTGCTGTGATAGGAATTAACTTCTGCGGACTGCCTCCGGACCGTATACAGCTCATTCTTACGCATAGTGGAACAACTACGGCGGCGACACTCGCTCCGGTTTAACCCTTTAGCTATGGGGCGGTGGTTTCTGCTGCTTACGAACGATACCTCCGTCCCGATGTTCGGGATATTCTTGACGACCAGAAGCCATGAGCTCAAGTCTCTGATTTGTTTCGTTAATAAAACACATTTGATCATTATTTTGCTCGCGCTCTGCTCAGTTACTCAGCGCCCTGAATGCGCTATCAGCTGTTAATTTATTCATCTAGCTCGTTCTCAGAGGTGGATTAGTCATCTATCCATAGAGCTTACACTGTAGACTGTCAAACAGTTTAAATACAGATAATCTAGGTAACAGCATGTTTTAGCTATTGCGCTCTTGATTAGTCATTTCAGTAATTAATTAATATTTTACTATTATAAATCGCTAAATTAGGGCGGCTCAGTCGACACCGTTCGAGACACTCAATTTTGTTTTGGGGGGAATAGCTCATGTAGTCAATAAATCATCCTCTGTATCACAGAGGATTGCCAGGTGTGGTTTTGTTTGGGGGGATATTTTAGCTCTCACAGTCTAAAACTGTGTGAGCGTTCCCTAATGCTGCTGCTGCTGTCCTCTGACTCTCTGCTATTTCATGGTGCTCATGAAAGGTCAGAGGACTCCCTGAACAGAGCCATACCGCCAAATTTCAATTCAGGAACATCAACCTGTTTGCAATCTATTCAAATAATTCTTAATTATTTTGTCTGTGTGTTCTTGACTTTATGGACCTGACAGAAATTGAGCGTCAGCGTCAGTTCTGGCAGGCCAGGTAGTCAAGCCGCTGCTTATGCTATTTGCTATCAACACTGTCCCGTCAGCTGATCTGCTCCAGCTGAGCCGCATTAGCTGGTTAACTCCCCTCGCTGCTCAATGGCCAAAGCTCAAACAAGGCGCCCTATTTAAGCTCATTCACCTTGCTCATACATGCTCGCTGCTCGCTCTGCTGGCTCGCTGCTCGCTCTGCTGGCTCGCTGCTCGCTTCTGCTGGCTCGCTGCTCGCTTCTGCTGCCCGCCACCTCCCCAGCTCCTCCTTATGCATAACGTGGCATTTGCTATGTCATGTTGCCTGCTCTGTTCACAGGGGGATATTTTAGCTCTCACAGTCTAAAACTGTGTGAGCGTTCCCTAATGCTGCTGCTGCTGTCCTCTGACTCTCTGCTATTTCATGGTGCTCATGAAAGGTCAGAGGACTCCCTGAACAGAGCCATACCGCCAAATTTCAATTCAGGAACATCAACCTGTTTGCAATCTATTCAAATAATTCTTAATTATTTTGTCTGTGTGTTCTTGACTTTATGGACCTGACAGAACTATGTTTAAAGGGATAGTTCACTTTAAAATGAAAATTGTCATCATTTACTCACCCTCAAGTTGTTTCAAACCTGTATGAATTTCTTTCTTCTGCTGAACACAAAAGATATTTTGAAGAATGTCGGTAACCAAACCATTAACTGGAGCCATTGACTTCCCTATTTTTTTTTTCCCACTATGGAAGTCAATGGATCCAGTTAACTGGTTGGTTTCCGACATTCTTCAAAACATCTTCCTTTGTGTTCAGCAGAAGAAAGCAATTCATACAGGTTTGAAACAACTTAAGGGTGAGTAAATGATGACAATTTTCATTTTAAAGTGAACAGCATTTTAACTTTAGCATTTTATATACAGTGTTTGAATTTGAAAGAATTAGGGATGGCTGATTATTTATATAAAATACTGTACAATTGTTTTTCAACCTCAACCAGATCTGCATGATACTTTGTAGTTCATTTTCCTTCATTTAATTTCTTGTGTAGCTAAAATTTATCTTTTTTTTTCTCAATATCCAACTTTTCTGTGCAGAAATCCTGAACGAAGGTCGAAAAGGCTAAGATGAGGGAAACCAAACGTATACACATTCCTCCAGGACTGCTGAAGTTCCTGTATGAACAACTTTGAAAAACCATGTAAAGTTTTAGCTTTTGTCAAATCTCAAAATGGAACTTTAACTGAACATACCGATAACTCCTTCATCTAGGCGATAGACGGTGATCGGCACTTCATTATCAAACAGATCCAGTATAATCTACCTGATGAACATCTACGTCCAGCCCTGAACCATCTACCTGTGTCGGCACGGAGAGAACAACGACAACCTGGAGGGACAGCTGGGCCGTAATGCAGGCCTCTCGCCGCGGCACAGACAGGTACGGTTAACCGCAGACAGAACCATTACAGTACATGGTAACTAAATTTGAAACATCATGATGGATAGGCCACATACTGTTCCCTCCCCTCTGTAGTTTTTGGTGGCTAAACCCGAGTCTGCAGTCCTACCAGAACCTGGTCCAATCAGTCCGATGGCTCTGAAGAATTTACTACACATTTCTTGGTGAGTGAGTTTTCCCCACCTAGAATCTTTGTTTTGACACATTCTGTATGTCATCATAAATAGTGTTTTGTATTTCTTTTACAGCCTTCAACTTACCTGAAGACAAGAAGAGTACCCCCCCAATCCATGTTCCTCTGAAAAACCTTTTCCCCTCACACATTTTAAAATAATTTATTCAGTGGATGCAATTGTTGTAATGTTAACAAAGTGTCATAAATTTGCAGACTTGAAACAATTTAGAGATGAGAAACTATATATACTTTTCCCTTTTTTTTTTTTTTTTTTTTTTTTTTTTTTTTTTTTTGGAATTGTTGTAGATCTATAAGTAAATAAAAATATGTTTTAATCACAGAAGATTTGTTTGAAATGTTTTCAACAAGAGTTACTGTATCATTACACTGTTAACTAACATAAAAGTAAAATTTATTTGCTGTAGGTATATTGCCTAAATTCATCTGTTTTATTTTTACTGTAGGAAAACCATAAATTAACAGAAAATTTTCATCTTTTAATTACGGAACAAAGTCTGGGTAATGAGCTGCCAGTACATTTTCTGTTATTTTACGGATTTATTTAATATTTGCGTTTTTTTACTGTAGTTATATCGTTAAATAACAGAAAGTGTCCTGTTTTTTTTACTATAAATACATCATTAAATGACAGAAAATGTCCGGTCTTTTACTATAGATACACCATTAAATAATAGAAAATTTCTGTTGTATTTACAGTGGGCACACTGTGAATTAACAGAAAATTTCCGTTTTTAAATTACGGGACAAAGTCCGGGTAATGAGCTGCCAGTACTTTTTCTGTTATTTTACGGATTTATTTCTTAGAGTGTAAGCATGAATATGAAGATTTTATTTTAGCATTATTTAAGCATTAATATTTGCCAATAACTTATTCCAAATTCATAACTGTTTGTAGATGGATCTTTCACAATAGTGAAGCATAAGATAAAACATTGAAAGATGTGACATCATCTTGCAACACAATATTTTTTATAAGCAACACCTAATGCATAATACAGTATGATGCTTTTGTAACGTATATTCGGTTATGTTCTGTTTTGGTTGTTTTCCCTGTGCAACGCCCGTGTTCTCTAGTTAGTTTCCTTGTTTGTTGAATAGTTCCATACACCTTTGTCTGTTCACACTGATTACCTCTCCCTATGTATTTAAGCCCTGAGTTCTTTCTGTTCCTTCTGTTCTGTCTTGTTTATGCCTAAGTGGTTTGTGTTTGAAGATTTTCCACCCATGAACCTGCGTGTGAATTTTGATTTGTTAATAAAGAATGTTTATTTTGGATACTACTTTGTTTCGTCATGTGAACTAAGGCACGTCTCCCATGGAACAGTCTTTGAGAGGATTGAGCAGTGGGTGCTGCTGGTAAACAATGGATAAACGTTTACCATCTGCCCAGCGGATGACATTCCCTACCCCACTCTGGACCCGAAGCCCAGCCAGCCATCACCCCGCTGCATGGACATGAAGCCAGAGCCCACCATAAATGGAGAGCCAGAGCCTGCCACGATTGATATGCCAGACAAGAGGACTGAGCCCACCATCACCCTGGAGCCAGAGCCCAACAAATTATCTGACCAGGTGTGTGAGCCAAGAACATCAAAGTCTCCTGTGTCTCCAGAGTTCCCGCCCAGCCTCCCTCTCCCGCCTCCTCTTCCAAGGTCAGTCAGTCCATCAACGCCACCTCAGCTCGTTCCCTTTAGCCCCTCGGTTTCTCCTCTGACACCACTCTATTGTGTGGATTTGCCTCGGGTCTTCTGTTCTCCTGCTCTGCCTAGTCAAGAGGATCCCTTGGCTCTGCCTCCTGCCATCAATCCCATCCCTCCACCTCGGCCTGTCGGCTCCACCTTGGCTCCTCCCTACCTCGGCTCCACCTGGGACCATCAATCGTACGGCTCCACCAGGCTCCCTTGTCCCTCCGGCTCCACCTTGGCCAGATGTCATCTCTGCCTGCGCCTTGGATTTCCAAGCCGTCCGATGCACTCTGTCTTTCCACCCCTTCGGCTCTGTCTGGCTCCGCTTTCTCTCTGGCTCAACCTCGGCCCTTGGTCATACCAGCTCCACCTCAGCCCTCTAGCACCCGGCTCCACCTCGGACAGTCATCACTGCGGCTCCGACTCAGCCTTTCAGGACAATCTGTGTCGCCCTGTCTCACTGGCTCTTTGTCTGGATCCAGGTAATCATGTCCATCGGATACACCTGTCCATCTACCCCTGATGTCGACAGCCAAATCTCCACCACGGCTTCTCCCTCACCCGACTCCACCATGGGCCATCGTCCTGGCTGAAATATGTGTCCCCGTCTGGCTACTGCTGCTCCTGGCTCCTCCCACCCTCGTCTCTCCCTCTGTCACCTCCCCTAGTTTCCTGCCCTTCCCCTGCTCCAAATCCTCCTCCAGAGCCCCCACCATCCCTCATCAGTTGGAGGAGGATGGCAGTCCAACTGAAGAGTGTAACTCCTCAGTCATCATGACGTCACTCACCTTAACCTAAGGAAAAAATAAACAACCCACAAATATGACCCATACTGGGTTCATAACTCTAATTTACCGTACCCGATTCAGTTGTTTGTTTTCTTTTCGTTTCATCTTTTTCCTTTTAATTCTACTTACTTTAATAAATGTTAGTCCTTTTGATAATTATCCAACGCGTTGTCTCCTTTGTCGCGGCTTGCGAGCCGGCCGTGTGGTTGATATTTTCTTTCCCATGATCTCTTGCGTGTGGATTTTGATTTGTTAATAAAGACTGTTTATTTCGTTGTGCTATTTACACAGCCACTGTTACAGTTGGTTTAGTCATTTTTGTGCTTTCAAATTATGTAAACTCGCAGTAAACCAAACTTTTTTTTACAGTACAATTGTAAAACTTTAACTGAAATGGCCAGTAAAGTACTGTAGATTTTACAACAAATTTGCAAGTGTTGTTAGATACCAGTTACATGCAAGAGTCTTACTGTGAAATTACTGTGAAAGAAATGCAATTATTAACCTGTAATATGCTGTAATTTCACAAAACGTTTAACAGTGTACATCACAAAATGAAAATAAAATATCTACCACTACTTACATTTTATATTGACTTAAATATTTCAGGTGACATGTACAGTGTTAAATGTGTATGTAACAGATTTTTAATTCATGCCAGTTAGAAATAGGTATGAAATTAATGTAGTAAGTGTACCACTAGTGTAACTGTGTCAAACTTTACTTGATGAGTTCAGGCAGGACACAACCACATCTAACATTAACGAGAACCGACAAGGGACTGAACAGAACAGGGAGTATAAATACACAGGAGTAAATGAGGAAACTAACTAGACACAGGTGGAGAAAGGTAAACTAATCAGGAACAGGGACTAACGAGAACAGGTGCAGACTAGACAAACATAATTGTGACATATGTGCCATTGCTTTATTTTAGTTTGCTTATATAGCTGACTGTGGCGGGGGAGGCGTGGTTCAGCGAGATCTGCGACGAGAGAGAGAGTGGAGAGATGAGCGGCGGTAAGTGGGTCAAGTGCAAAATGACTGACACCTGTGTCTCGTTGCAGTAATTGGCGTGGGGAGACTGTATAAAGTCAGACGGGAACCAGCGTTCGAGGAGAGAGGGCTGAGGACTCGTGGGATCGTGGAGGAAAGAGGACTCTATTGACAAGTTACCGAGTACTTTGTACTGTGAATGAGATTTATGTTGTGAGCGCATGTGGCGCGAGTGTGATCTGAGTTTATTGAATAAAATAACCACGAGCCTCAGCCAGCCGACCCCGGTCTCCTTCCTTCTCACACATACACACAAGGGAAATACAACACTGACTAACTGGTTTGTTTTTCTTCTAAGCAATGTTTTGCCTTTCTTGCTGTAACTGGAGACTTCTGAGCTTCAAACTTTCCATTAAAAGATGTATTAATGGAATATAAAGTCCTGAGGCCATTTTTACTTGACATGAACTTTGATAGTCAAGATGGTGGCAATTACTGTACCCTGCTTGAGTTTTAAATAAAATGTACAGACAGACCCTGCTTGGGTTTGAAATAAAATGCCCAGACAGACCCTGCTTGTGTTTGAAATAAAAAGCACAGACATCTAGGAGATTAATTACCCAATGGTCAGTAATTAAGAGAAACTGCTCATTTAGATGATACTGTATCCAAGGCCTTTTCCACAATTCTACAAATTATTCGGACTAGTGATTGCTCATTTATATCCTGTGCAAGTGGATGTCTTAATATTCAGTATCTGATAGTGTACGCCCCTTATATTTTATTTTCATTCATCTGATAGTGTATGCCCCTTATGTTTTATTTGAATTCATCTTAAAATATCATAACTATCTGTCATTGAAAAACCCATTGGTTGTATCTAACCTCCCACCCAGTATCTATGGCTGTTACAGCAGAAGTAGACAACAATAGGAAGTAGTGCTCCGGTTGTTAAAAAAAAATAAAAAAATAGTCAGCAGACAAATTTTATAGAATGCTCATTCAGATTTATTGAAATTAAGGCATTAATTTACAGTAGCTTCAAAATTTTTAAATTAAGTTCTGCTGAGCCAAGAATTGGGTTTAAGCACACTGCTCAGAGCAGCGACAGGCCACATGAGCATCTGTAGTCTCTCTCAAGTCTACACTCTTCTCATAGATTCCATCAAACATGTTGAGGTTGGAGTCTGTAACACAGGATATAAAACTGTAAGTGACATTTAGAAACCAAAATGTTATATTTTCCCAGTCAGACAATGTAATCACTTGCATATTGTTTGGCCAATGTAGTTCATGGTAATATTATTAAATGTCAGTGTTTGATTTTAGGATGTAAAATCTGCTTTCTCAAGCAGTCATATGAGAATTCCTGGATTGAGTCATATCAATCTTCAAACAAGTAATGAAATCACTTACCAGTGGACAGGCAGTGGTATCCAATAGTGACAGGGATGGTTCTGATTGGTGTACAGCCTGACAGACAGCGCAGCACAGGCTCAACGGAGTAGCATTTAGATTCCTGTCCATTCAAAATCGCTTGCTTCTCCAACTTCACAGATTCAAGTTTCATGCGGCATTCTGATAAAAATATTAATATAATATATCATGTGAATATAATATATAACAAAAAATAGGAAAAATATTTATTTTGTTTTAAAAGTCTTTCAAACATATGATATTGTTGTAATGCACAGCATCAGACAAATCTTACGGCTGGCATCACGGCAGCTCTCAGCAGGAAGCACCCATGAGTGAGCAAAGCTGACTGAGCTCTTGGTCAGGTATCCACTGGGCGTAGTGTACTCCTGTCTGATCTCTCCATCAGCCTTTCCACAGATGCCACATGTCTGTCCCTTCATCCAGTCTGCAACTTGAATCTATAAATGAAAATTTATGTCAGGAATTTATCGAACTCTGGATGATGTGTTTTTGCTGCAGAACTTCAGTAGCTGATAAATACTCTTTAACTTGCAGTCACCTTCCATTGACCACTGGCAAAGTAGACTTCCTGAAGCCCGTGACTAGGAGCATAAAGTGACAAACCATCATCCTTCTTCTTGATCTGGATGGAGCCTAAAGAAGAAGTGCATTTTAATTTATATTAGCTAAACATGTTATGTGAATTAAGTCGAAGATACCACGTGGACCTAAGAACCTACCTGAGGGATGCTGATAGGGAAGACTGCTGATGGGAACTTCCATTTCATTAACTTTAACTTTTGCATCGGTGCCCAAAGAATACATCTCTACATCACTGTTAAAGACAGGTGATCAACTCAGTACAGTGGTAGTAAAATTATAATCACAGTGAATAAACCTGCAGATTAAATGGATAGTTCACAACAGAGTGAACTTACATATCAGCAAGTTTAACGTTCAGGCGGTTTTTTTCAGACTGTCCATCCTTCTTCAACAGAACAACAAATTTCAACTCAGGTGTGCAATCCTGGGCTAAGACTTGGTGGCAGGAAATGGGCATTTCCATCTTGAACCTCCTGTTGTTGAAGGTGGTGATTGTGTCCTGCATCATGCTGCACTGAGCTAAAAAAAAATCAAATAAAAATCAAGCAACTGTGTGATTTCTGATTAAATTTAATTTAATTCCTGTATGTCATATCACTGATTTGTACCTGTGGTCTGTTCATAGATATAGTTCTGGGCTCTGAACTGAATGTCCTGATCAATATGAATAGAAAGAGTTCCATCTGGATTGATGGGAACAGTGATAGGGAGAGGAATAGCCATCCTTGACAGAGTCATCTAGAGCAGAAAATAGTTACAGTAGTTGCCTTTTCTTTCTTTTATCTCTGAGTGAGTCATAGTTTAAATATTACTGGCTACTCACCTCTGGAATCCTAGCAATGACATTCAAGGTCCTCTTAGTTGGCAAGGCCACAGTCAGATCGATTTCTTTCTCACTGTTCGTGGCTCTTTCAAACCTGAATCCTGACTGCAATGCTGCCATAGGGATGTGTTTAGACAGCCTATTTGAAAAGTGATACATAAGGAAAAAGTATTCAAAACATAACATTTCTACAGTTACCACAAAACAGTTCATGATCATTGTGTTTACTTTTTGGCATAGGTGATGGCAATAACTGGAAGCCTTTCAAATTCCCACTCTAGACGGACAGCAGGGAATTCTCCAAGGATTCCAGCCTCAGCTTTAGTAATGACTGCATATTGTTGACACTCTGAACCCCAAGCAACCTTGCTCTGAAGAAGAAAATGTATGTACAATTCAGACCAGTAGAAAATCAAGGACAGAAAGACAATTGTGACATTTTGGCTAACTTCAGCCTCAGCTCTGATCTTACAGTGACTTTGTGCTTGCTCAGCAGGACACCATCAGCACACAACTTCCAGTTGTCATTCTCAGCAATGGAGGAAACAACGAGCTGCACTCTAGCAGTTTGCTTGTCAAAGAAAGCAGCAAGCTGGTAACCCAACAACTTGTGGTCCACTCTAACAACACGGGCAATGGCAGCAAAAACAGGTGGAGCAGAATCTCCAAGATATTTAGCCTGAAAGAATGAACAAGCATTTAAGCAATTCATTCGAGATTTGTGAAATCCCTTTGTATGTTTTGTTATAGACAAATCAAATCACAGAAATTGGTTCACCTGTTTCTGGATTTGCTCAAAGCTAGATGCGGTGCTTCCACTGCTTACAGCCTTTGAGGCACCATGGTGTGCCATGAACTGCAAGCAAAGTTTTTGTATAGTACTAACTGTACTGGAAGGAACTCAATCTCTCCAAATATACAATAATGTGTTGATATAAAACCTTTAGAAAGCATTCCTTAGTAATTACCTGATCTTTGTGGAATTTCTTGAAGGGCTCCATGTGATTGGCATTCTGAAAACCCATAAGAAAGAAATGAGAATGAATAAAAATATGAGAGATTGATGATATAAATGTTAGCAACCAAGCCATTAAACAAGATCCCACATCCTCACCTCAGTCACACGAGAGCTGGACATGGAGGAGCTTGAACTGCTGCTGCTGCTGCTGCTGCTGCGGCTCCTGCGGCTCCTGCGGCTGCTACTGCTGCTTTCAGAGGAGACGGACGCATTTCTGTCTTCAGTCTCCAGGATTTCCCTCAGTTTCAACAGGAAGGCCTTTCCTTCTGGAGTCTCTTCATCAATGAGGCTGATTTGCTTAAGGAGTCTCTCAGCAGCTCTAGGACCAACTTGAACTTCAAGCTCCAGTCTTTCAACCGCAGGACCTTCAGCTAAAGCCAGAATGACCATTATTATTTTGTCTGGAAATTTTTTAGTTTAATCAATGTAATCTTCTCTGAATGAGTACCTCTTGTCAGTGCAGCACGGGCTGAGTGCTGTCCAATTATGTAGAAGAGAGGAGAATTTCTGATAAAAGCAGCATGGTGAGAGTGCACCTCAACGCACCCCTTGATTTCAATATATGGGACAGCAAGACAGAGAGTCTTGTGAAATGGAGCAGCAGCTCTCACAGGAGTCTCATCTGGCATGTCAGGAGAAAGGATCTCAGAAGACTGAAACAGAAAATTAACAAGTACTGCAACAAATCTTGCCTCTTTGATTTTGAAGCATACTTCCACATATGCATGTGTTGCTTACCAATGTCTGGGAGTTTTGCAGGGACAACTCAGGAACCAATGGAACAATTCTCTCTGAAGTAGGATCTTCAATGTTTCTTGCCAAAGCAATAGTCTCAAAGCTGTCAGAACAAGAAAACATTGGAATAAACTGTTGTTCCTTTTTTGGGGAAATTCATTAAACAGTTTTGATACACTGACAAGACTAAGATTTCAATACCTCACATCAGCAATGTGTTCAGGAATATCAACAGGTAGAACCTCCACCTTGTAGTTGCCCTTGAGAATGTCTGCTCTTGCAGCCACTTTTCCAGGGGCAATTATACGGATTTCTCCTTTTGCCATAACAGCAGCTTGGATCAAGGCAGTGTTCACTCCCATCACAGCAAATTTCTGCAAAGCAATACTGAAACAAGAATAAGGGAGGTTATGTTTTTAAAGGCATTGCTGTATGTTACTTCTTAGCTTCATGTGTTTTTAAAAGTGTACCTTGGTCTAGCTTCAACTTGGAGTTGAACATCAGTCTTCTTGAGCTGCTCAAGGGTCATAGTCTCAATCTCCTCAGGGAGAGGAGGTGTTATGGTGGCTTTAACTAGAAGGATGAACAAATTAATATAAAACCAAGAAGTGATCTCATTTCAAAGGAAAGAACACTAAAAATTCTAGGAGAAAAAAATGTACCATTGAGACTTGCAGCTGCAACAACAGCTGAGTACAAACTGAGCTCCATGGGCACACCAACTGTTGTTGGAAAGATACGACGCACTTCAGCTATAAGTAGGGGTTTGGCACGCTGCCAGACAATTCCTTCCTGCAAAGCTTTAAGGGCACGCTTCAACTGTTCACGTGGTTTGGGTCCAGTGGCAAGCTGGGGATTTTATGAAAAGACAAAATAAATCTAACAAGAATTACGGAAATATATCAAATAATAAGTCAAAACAGGATACATGAACTTGAACCCAATACCTGCATTGCTTGTTCAATGATGGTCCTGTCAATACTGGTGAAAGCCAATTCCTGTCCAAACACTTTTACATATGCTGAAGCCAATGGCTGATTGGTTGGCAGAGCCTTCCAGTTTATGAGCTGAAAATGTAACCAACAGAAATCATGTTTTTTATATATGTCACGTCTTAAATTTAATAGCATAGAATAAAATACAAATAACTTACGGCTCTCAGAGTGCGCTTAATCTTTGTGATACGGTCAACACTTTCATCTGCAGCAGGAGATTTCAGAAGAGCCTCCTGGATTCCTTCAGTTCTCACACCGATCTGTTTGAAAGAATCAACTGAGTGAAGACTGAAAACATTTTAAAACGATGAATCAGATAAAAAAAAAAAGAAGAAGTAGTCTTGGTTGTCCCACCTCAAGAACATCAGCAGCAGCTCCAGCCAGGTAAGCACGTGCTTTAGCTACAACAGCTCTGGGCAGGATGGTGGCGGCATCATTGATCATGTAGGCACTACCAGCAGCTCCAATCATAAGAGGAGCTGCACCGGGACAGAGATAAGAATCCAATTAATGTGATTTTTTTTTTTTATGTCAGGAGAATTTTTTACGCATTTTAAGAAATACCCAAGACACTGATTTTAGCTCTCTTATAAAAATGGCTACACTCACTATGATAGAAGTCCAGCTGAAGGGCTCTGCTGAAACGGAAGCTAAGCCTGTCCAGTTTGCGACTCATGAGCTTGATGGCAACATTAGCTGCACCCGCACTGAAATAGAAAACCATGATTACCTCTAGCTTGTGCTCAAATGGTGTGATAAATTAAAATATATGAAAAATTATTTGTTATTCTTACACAGATGCCATATCAGGTGCAGTGATTCTGGTCAAGGACTTGATGTGGGAATAGGCAAAGCTCGCAACCTGCATGTTAGTCTCAGTCTTCAAAGCACCAGCAAGATTGGAGACGAGAGCCACTGAGGGCTTGGCCTCGAACAACACAATACAAGCAACCATACGCACTTCAGGGTGGAGAGCCCTGTCCAATACAAGCTGCAGGGCCACTGGCTGAACCTGAGGCAGAAAACGAGATTAGTATATTATTGAATGAAAATATGCACAATCATCACAATCATCTTTTACAGCAGGTCATTCCTACAATGTCTGGCACTTACCAGTTTGGGATCTTTCTTGGCAATGTTCCTCAGGGCCAAGATGGCATCAACCTGGACTCTAATGGGCACAGCAGCAGCTGTAGTTTTTAGTACAGGTAGGAGCTTCATGATGGTTTTAAGACTAGCAGGGTGACCAGCATTGCCCAGAACTTTCAAAGCCAAAGTGATTTCAGGAATGTCATTCTTGGAAATGGCCTCTATAGCAATATCATGGAGGGGCTGAGGAGTTTGAGGCATGTACAATTAGACAAATTTTAAAATATTATATTATGTCCAAAGCAGAAATGTATGGATGTCTTGAGGTGTTTACCTTGAGGAGCTCGGCAGGGCAAGTGGGATTTGCAGCGCAGTGTTTTGCAATCATGGAACCATATCCAAGCATGACGACTTCACGCAGAGCTGGGATTGTGGAGATTTTCTCGTGCATAGCCAAACTCTGTTCAGCAACATACAGAAATGATTCATTTGATTCTGGTAAGATTTGAAGAACAGCACTTTGAGTATAGTAAGATTTACCCACAGCTGTTAACTGGATGGTGTCCAAATCAGCAGTGACCATTTGCAGAGCAACCACAAGAGCCTGAATGAACTCAGGAATGGTAAGTTCACCAGCCAGGAACTTCTCCTTGATTAATTTTACAATGACTGGTGTGCCAACAGCAGGAAGAGCATCCAGAAGCCAGCGCCTAACAGATTCATTGTTTTAACATTTTTAATGTTTAACTATATTGCTGCTCATTTTTTTTTTACAAAATTCTACCTGTAAACTGGTTTGTCTTTGAACTGAGCCCAGATAGCCTCAATATTCTCCAAGGTGGCAGCACGCAGGAGCTGGACGAGCTCAACAAACCTTAGTGGAGCATCATCATGGACCATGGCCAGGTTATTTTCAACCAAGTGGTTCAGGACCTCGACAATCTAGTAAGAGTAAAAGCAATGTTCATGCGTCAACTCTTGACAGTTCAATGTGGATGTATTTTGTAATAATTTAGAGCTTTGATGCAATTTACACCTTTACCTGTGCTTGTGCATCAATGATCTTTATGAGTTGAATGGGGGTCTGAAGAATCTCAGTTGCAAACTCATACTGCAGGGATCCACGAGCCAAGTAATCAGTGTTGCTTGGAACAACAGGGGTTTTCTGAATCTCTTCAAATGCCAAGGTTTGTCTGTAACAAAAAAAAAAAAAAAATCTGTACCTTAGCGTTTTGAAAAATAATGAAATATGTGAAGTATTACTTCATATTTTTAGGAGAAATCAAGCAGATTATTAATCATACTTTGCTTCCATCTGGACAGCACCATGGATCTCATTGAAGGGTGAAAACTGATGCACTTCCTCAACTGTGGCTTCAGCGATCAGTACACCGGCAGCAGATGGTTTCATGATGTAGTTGTAAGATGCAGTTTCAATCAGACTTTTGACTCTCTGTTGAGAGACAGGTAAGTGTCCTTTTTTCGCTCTAGAGAATGTTTTGTGAGTGCAAGGTAACATTTTTGGTCCATTTTCTCAGAAGAGAAAGACTTTAGGAGTACACTAGCATATAGATTGCCTCAAATCCAACAGATATGGACTAAAAGCTAAACAATTTAGCATTATCAATAGCTAACAACATAATAGGTAAATTTCTCAATTCTGTGTTGTCTTCTTCATTACCTTTGTGCATTCAGCACACTTCTCAGTGTACACCAAGCCAGTGTGCCTTATAATTCTCTCCTGGCAGTGGTTCAGATCCTTAGACTTGGTGATAATAATGTGGTTGGCCTTTGTATCCTCATTGATGACGTAGTGGGTCCTGCACACTCCCTGAACTCCAGCCTTGAAGGACAAGTAAAAAAAAATTAGATTGCAGAACTCAAAATTGATCAAAAACATACTAGGATCACTTTCTCACCTCTTGCAGCTCATAGATGTTCTGGGTCTTCTTGAGGTTAAGCTGAAGGATGTTGAGGATTCCTCTGTGCAGGTTCAGTACTGTAGGGGAGACTCCTGCTGGGGCGAATACCTTTCCAACCACACCATTAGCATACTCAAACTTGATGGGAATCTGAAGCTGAGCAGCCAGAGCTGAGGTGAGCTTAGTGGCAGGAACAAATGGATCCTTGGGCCAAATGCCAGCATACTCGTGAAGTAGAGGATCCATGAGCTGAAAAGGAACATTTCACTTTAAATTTGTGTACAATTGCTTGTACTAGCTGGGACTTTTTTGTTGTTGTTGTTGTTGTTGTTGTTGTTGTTGTTGTTGTTGTTGTTGTTGTGTTTTACCTTGAATTCTTTTCAATTTTTCTATTTTTTGAATAGTCATTACCTTCATCAGGAAGGTGTTCTCTGTCACGGCACTGATGTGAACCTTGCTGCTGACTTTTATTCCTGCTCTGGCCAGACCTTCTTGAGGAAGACCACCCAAGAGCAGAGCCTCATACTTGTACACATAGGTCTTATCAGGGGCAAACTCAGGAACTGAAACATAATTTTATATATATTTTAGTCTTTTGTAGAATAAAGTTGTCACTTAAAAGAAAATTAAACTTTTAAATGAACACTTACCAAGGTTAATCTGTTGACTCGCTAAAAGAAACAATATAGACAATGAGACAAAACTCTAAAAATAAAGTTTTTGCATCTAAAAAATTGTTTCTAACAATGAAATTTCTTACCCACAAAGGCCAGAGTCAAGGCAAGCACAACAGCTCTCATGGCTGGTGGTTTGTGAAGATTTCAAGAAAAGAACAGACTTTTATAGTTTTTATTTTTGCTGACCAAATGTTAATTCTAAAATAATGATTAACAAATGTTAACAAATGCTTTGGCTGGTGAGATGATTGCTAAGTAGATATCAATTAGAGTTTAGGTTACCCTGGCCTCACATCCATAGGCCAAAGTCCACAGTGAAATACTTATTATTATTATTATTATTATTATATTTTTAATTATTTAATTTAATGAAAGATCGTTTAGAATACTTCCAATTTTTCTGTGAAAGATTGTTTGGAATACTTTCACTTTTACTTAAATATAACAATGCAATATAACAAACTTAAAATTACGTTTAGTGGTACATCAGTCTAAGGACGCCATGAATAAATACTTTCAGAATAGTTGAAAGGGCAATGTCATGTCATTTGCATCATGCAATTTTGACTTGGAACAGAGCAAACAAAGTCATGGTCATTGATTCTTATATTGATAAACATCCAAATCACATATGGTTATCATCTAATATTTATGCATATGGCAATATTTAATAAGAATTCACAAAACATCAAAAGTGAACTTCTGTAGACATTATATAATTATTATATGTTCTTTGTACCTGGGCAAAAGTATTAAAAGAACAGTTGTGGGATCCATGGTGCAGTGTTTCGTACACATGATACAACCAAGATAATACAGTATGTACAGTTTCATGGATTTGCTTATAGCTATGCTTCAGAGAAAAAAACTGTAATGTAATGTCAAAAATGTGTTGTGTTTTGGCAGTGTTTTTTTATGCAGTGCAGAGCAATATTTACAACACTTAACAAATGAGCTCATTATGTTAACATTAGTTTATATGCATTAGGTATTGGATTTAACAATGAACAATATTCGTCACAGCATTTATTAATCTTGGTTAATGTAAAATATTCTTCATTGTTAGTTCATGATGTATCAACTAATGTTAACGCATGCAATTATGTGTATGACAATGCATAGACGTATGTCTGATATTGTTACATCAAAAGAAATATCACAATTGTTACTAAAGACCACGTTTATTAAAATTAGGGGGGGGGGGGGGGGGGGGGGCATTTAACAGCTCTAAATGTTTTTAGAGCTTTAACCCATATTTAGTTTATGTATATATTTTATTTGTTTAATTGTTTTTTTTTAAAACGTTGCAATTTTGCTTCAGCAGTTAAACACACTCCTCTGTACAGTTACAGGCCATGTGGGCTTCTGCAGTTTCTCTCAGATCTTCAGTCTTCTCATTGCTGCTCAAATTTGCAGAAAGATTGGATTTTAGGTCTGAAACAAAAGCATCACATGAAACTAGCTACTGAAAAAAAGGTGAAATACTGTATGAAAATTCGGTGGGTGAAGGTCTTACTAGAAGGCAGGCAGTAGTATCCAACAGTGATATGACTAGTCCTAATTGGCAGACAGCCAGGCAGGCAACGCAACACAGGCTCAACAGAGTAGCATTTGAGTAGCATAGCAATTCTTGCCTATTTGACCTCTGCTTCTCCAGTTCCACAGTTTCAAGCTTCATGTGACACTCTGGGGAAGATGGTATTCAATAAAAGCATTTTATTGGAGTAAATTGTTGTCACAGAATAAGCAGTAAAACACTTACGGCTTTCCTAAACTCTTAACACAGTTAGCACAACATCCGTCTGTGTAGGCTATACAATTAACGCATTTCTTGTTGCTTTGACACAAAATGCATACAGTCTACAAACCATCTTCCTCTCTGATGTGAGCGAGACTGAAATCAAAACTATTGTGCATAAATGTAAAAATAAATCATCTATGGACTATTTGGACATTAATATGAGATTAATAAAAAGAATAATTGACAATATTGTGAAACCCTTACACACGTATGTAATGCTTCATTTCAAACTGGAACTTTTCCAGACAAAATGAAAATAGCCAAAGTGTTACCACTATTTAAAAACGGAAGTAAACATATATTTACAAATTATAGGCCTGTCTCTCTGCTGCCACAGTTCTCAAAAATATTGGAGAAAACGTTCTATAGCAGACTGGATAAATTTATTGCGAAGCATGAGTTAATTAACGAAGGGCAATACGAATTTAGACCCAAAAGATCGACCACTATGGCTATTATTGATGCTGTGGAAGAAATCACCAGTGCTGTAGACTGCAAAAAACACGCTGTTGGAATTTTTATAGACCTAAGGAAAGCATTCGATACCATTAATCATTCTATTCTTGTACAAAAATTCGAAAAATGTATGAGCATTGTTTGTGGGCTGCCTCAAGGGTCTATCTGGCTCCCTTGCTATTCAATTTATATATTACAGTAATGATATATTTAAAGTATCAGATTTCTTAAAATTTTGTTATTTGCTGACGATACCAACATATTTTATTCTAATGATAACTATAATAGACTTATAAAGGATGTAAATCAGGAATTAGCCAAATTTAAAACATGGCTGGATTTAAACAAATTATCCCTCTCAGCAGATTACTTTCACTGTAGAACATTCTATTGAAATGTAGATATAAGCCTATGAAAGACCAAAGAGCTTTAGATTTAGAATAACAGTGTTTACATGGTATATCCAAAAATGTACTATTATGAAAGAAGTGTTTACCATTTGATGCAAATGCTTCATTCTGACATGTGTTTATGGCATTTTGAATGCAGTGTTACATTTTGAAGGAGATGTGAGGCATTTTGCATTTTGTGTGTACAGTTTTGGTAATTGTGTGTAGAGTTTTGAAAAAAAGGGGACATAGTTTTGAAAACGTGTGTAAGCAGTTGGAAAAAACTGTAAAATAGAAAAAGTAACAGAAATCAAATTCTTGGGAATCACGATAGACAACAAACTGAGCTGGAAATCACACATTGGGCACATACAAAGGAAGATATCAAAAAATATTGCAATTATAAACAAAGCTAAGTACGTTTTAAATTACAAGGCGCTGTGTATATTGTATTCAAGTCTTATTTGACCACTTATGGAATTGAGGTCTGGGGTAATAATTATAAAAGTTCCCTACATTCCCTTGTAATACTCCAAAAACGAACAATCAGAGTTATTCATAAGGTAGGACACCTCGAACATACAAATATATTGTTTTTACGAAGTAACATGCTTAAATTCATGGATTTAATTGATTTTTATACTGCACAATTAGTGTATAAAGCAAATCGGGTCGTACTACCAGTAAATATTAAAAAATGATTCATAAAAAGAGATAGCTGTTACAATTTGAGAGGTTATGGCCAACTTAAAGTACCAGCTTTCAGAACTACGAGGAAAAGTATGTGTGTGTCTGTGTGTGGCGTCAGGCTCTGGAATAACCTGAGAGCCCAACTCAAGCAGTGCCCATTCATTTATCAGTTCAAATCAAAGTATAAACAAGTCATACTGTCTAAGTACAGGATGGAAGAATATCCTTAAATGTGGAAAGGGTACTAATTGACGATTCTTCTTTTCTTGTCTTGGAATCATCAGAATGGTTGTGCGTTAATTTTGTTGATTGTATGGTCACTGGAAAAGTGCAACATAAATATGTATCAATTGTCTTCTTGATTGTAGTAAATGTAACTACTGCACAAATGTATAAAAGGGGGTAGGCGTCAATAAGCTTAAGCTTCTGCCTACTCCTTTTGAGCATCATATTCACGTTTTTATTTATTTACTTACTTATTCTTTGCGCATGTATCCTTCTTTAGTTTGGCCTACTGTGCTGACCTTTGTTACTATATAGAACTTTGTGGAACCTAGATGCTCAAATAAAAATAAAAAATAAAATAAATAAAATAACACAAATTTAAAATGCTTGAACTTCTTTTACATACAAACTCAACCAAAACCAAAACAATGGATTTTTACTGCCAAATTTACAAATGCTTTCACGCTGTATGTCAGAACAGATAACATCATGTTCTAAACCTAACTTATAGGCTAAAGTCAAATTGAACAGCTGTTCATATTGGCCCTCATTTATCAAAAGTGCGTACACCAAATTTCCAGCGTACACCTGGCGTACACCCAAAACCACGGTGACTTTGAGATTTATCAATATGGACGGCACGCTCAAATCCTACGCCAGCTCAGGAGTGGTGTACGCACGTTTTGAGTTGAAATGCGCAGAAAAACAATTCCTAACACCACAAAATGCACTGACAAACTAAAATATATTATATATTATGACCCACTGTAAAACAAAAAACAAAAAAAAACATAGTAATTATAAACTTCAGAGTTTATTTTTGTGCAACATGGACTTCAATGTTTAATTTGTGTGACGTTACCAAAGCATTTGATTTGTAAGCATATGTATTCCTTCAGTTGCGAGCCTGTGCGCTTTACCCTGACGTTTCAGGGTTTGGCCCGGCAGGTGCGCACGGACTGGGTTCGGTAATGAAAGGCTTTCAATGACCAAAAAATTATTCAGAGTGACAAAAAAAAAAAAAAAATACATTCTTCTTCTTTTAAATAATAATAATAATACAAATAATAATAATGACATTCTTCTTCTAAATAACAATAAGCGTCATGAATAATACAAATCATACTAATAATAAGAAGAATATTACAAATTGTCATGCAATTATTAATGTGAATGAATGGTACTCCACATCACATCATCATCATCACTATTGTACACCCCAATACATGTGACGTGATTCGAAATTGAATGCTAATTCAAAAGACGTGCTGTAAAATATTGCATTGTGATAGGTCATTTCGGCTCCACGTCGGAGAAGTTTCTCTTCTTTGCCGTCTTCCGTGTGTCCATGGCGTAAAATGAGGGCGTGGGGGAGGCGGAGACTTGAATATATAGGGGCGTGTTATTCTAATGACGATCATTTTCAGCCGCGGGATTTATCAAGGGCAGGTATTGCGTACACCTGGATTTCAAAGGTACGCACAGCTTCATAAATCTGGCGGTGAGAGGAGTGTAAGCATAATCTAACGCCAACATATACGCCCGTTTCTACGCAAGAATGATAAATGAGGGCCACTGTGAACTGAAACACAAATATATCCCCTGTATTTTATTCCATTGCTACAGAGAAACAGCTGATTGAAGTTATGAAAATATGGGACAATGTGGCATTCCACCATTCCCGTGCAGTCACGGCCTGGTTTGATGCCCATCAGAGGATGATGTCTCTTTTCCTTGCCCATTACTCCCCTTTCCTCAACCCCATTAAGAAGTTTTCTTAAGATGGAAGATTTTTGACCATCGTCCACAGGACCAAATGTCCTTCCTGGATGCAATGGATGCTGCATGCCAAGACATCACAGCTAGAATTAGAAGATGGCTTTTTCTGTTTGTATATTTTTGTATTTTCACATAGAGTAATACTGTAAATGGCAGCTATATTGCATATTTTTGTTATCTTGCAGAAATGTCCTGTTGCAAATAAAGCCTTTACTGCAGCAATTCTGTCTCTGTCTTCTTCGGGAAAGGTCCGCGAGCTGACCAAACTATGGATCTAGCAGCAGTGAAAATTCTCCTCCTCTCGCAGGGAAACCAGTCCCTCGAGAGACACACACGGCGTTCCAGGATTTACAACATCTCGTCCACTATAACGACACCAGCCTGTGTCAGCCTCCGGAGACGGAGCTCGAGGGACATTTATGGAGTGTGTGGACTGGCGACTGGGTATTCTTCAGCAATGGTTGTTCAGATGGTTGACCAGAGTCCAGCGTAAATAAAAGTTAAACTGCTGAGTTTAGGTCCTGCATTCATTATTATTGCAACCAACTTGTGACAATGTCGGAGCGCTTCCCTCTGTAACGTTGAGCAGACTCAGAAACAAAGAGCCGGATCCAAATGCAGTGGGTTATTTATTTACAAAAATAAGGCACAAACTATCAGCAAAACACGGAACATCAGGAGCAGAACTAAAAATCTAAAAAAGTCTAAAAATGTAATTGCTAATGCAAGCAACAGACTTGTATACAAAATGAATGTGGAGAGAACTTCAACCTGTTGGGTGCTGGCAGGGGCGTAGAATTTAGTAGGGACGCTAGGGACGTGTCCCTACCAATATCCAGTGACACTGATATATCCCTAGCATTAATTTCGATCAAAATTTAAATATATTTATATATTGATGTCCCGTCCCCACCAATTTCAAAATCAAACCTACGCCACTGGGTGCTGGTATGAAATATTCTTGGTTGGCACTTCAATTCCATTCATTTTAACCTTCACTGCACTGGTGGTATATGTCAACATCACTGTTGTGGAAGGAAACATTTAATATTGCCTGTATCTTAAAATTAGCATTTGGAATGTCAAACTTTACTTTCTCTTTTAGAGGGAAAAATGTATTGATGTTTCCTTTTGGCCATGGAAGCAGCTTGAATGAAGCCAGTGTTGAGTCCTATTACAGCAAAAGTCTGTAAGGCAATTCTCGGTGAAACTTCAGCAGTTAACTTCACATCCGTCTTCATCAGATGAGCAACACTGATGGTTTCAGTTAGAGGTGGTTGTAATAATAGCCTGGACTGGACATGATGGTAATAAGAAAGTTAAAGTTAAAAGGAACATTTCTGTATGTATTTCTCTGTTCCCAAAGAGAAAAACTTTAAACTGACTACTGTGCTTTTTAGACTGTTTTACCCTTCAGATTAGCAGCAGCAACAGCAGCAGTGTGCAAACTAAACTCCATGGGTACACCAGCTACGGATGGGAATATGTGACGCACTTCAGCCACCAGCAGGGGCTTGGCATATTTAAAAGCAATGCCATTCTGCAGTGCTTTAAGTGCTTTCCCTGCCAGGCAGCTCTGGTATATAGCCTTCAGTAGTAATAGGCCGTGAGACAGAGGGTCGATTGGTACCATTTTGTGGGATTAAACCGCATGGTGATTTTTGTGTATATGACCCTGTATTTGAAAAATGTGTGATAGCATTAGATTCAAGGTAGTTTTTGGTTACGGAGGATGATTTTCAAACATATGTCAAGAAAAAGGATAAATAAATTTAAAATTGTATTAAAAAATTATAAAATTTTATACATTTTTATATAATAAAAAAAATATTATTTTTTTTTAATACATTTTTTAAATTATAAAAGGATAAATTTTTCTCTCTTGTAGTCACTAAACACCTTACCTTGAGGTAGGATGATATAAGTGTTGATTTCTAATGAAAGCTACCATGGAATGGATGCTATCACACATTTTCCAACACTAGAGATGTGTACCTTCATGAAAATCAAAAAGAAATGTAATCCCTCAAAATGGTACCGGTAGCCCAAATTTGGGGTCCCGTCTCATGGCCTATAAGCTGTAAATAAAATTTGATTGTTAGCCCCATGTTGAACATTCTACTTTCAAATTTTAGAAGTCAATGCAAATCATTTCATATGACAGCGTTTTAGGATGTGTTCACACTTGTAGTTTAGCATGGTTCTTTTTTGTCCGGACCAAAAAGAAAATGATACATTTAGCTTTGCTTAGCATCCACACAGTAATTTTTAACACCAAACTTAAAGATACAAAAAAAAAACAGGCTTAAGGGCATATATTTTGCAACAGATCTCATAAAAAATCCCCAAAAATACTGTGTTTTGGGCTAAATGGGCTTGTTGTATGTGTATACGTATAATTGTGTTTTTCAGCTGAGAACTCACAAAGAGCTTATAAAATGTGAAAAAAAAAAGTCAAAACAGTATTTCAGTCCACTTGGGTCCATTGGGGGTTTCGGTCCACTTGTTTGGTGCGCACCAGGGTTCGGATGGCAGCGTTCACACTTATTCAAATGAACCGCACTAACAGAGCAATCGCACCAGGCTTCGTTTTAATTGAACCCAACCTGCCAAGTGTGACCACACCCTAAGTTTATATGAAATTATATTACTACAACACACCCGTGTTGCCTGTTCAATAACTGCTTTGCCAACATTAGCAAAAGCGATCTCTTGTCCAAGAAGTTTCACATAGATCGAGCCCAATGGCTGCTTCTTTGGCAGGGCCTTGAATGCTTTTAACTGCAGTATAACAAATAGACAAAAACATATACGTATGTAGCTGTTAAGAAAAACTGCATAAATTACGTTTCTAATATGCCACACTTACAGTCTTAAGCACTTGTTTCATCCTGGACTGCCTGTCCTCAAACAGAAATGGAGATTTCAGAAGAGCTTCCTGAATTCCATCAGTTCTGATGCCAACCTGAAATAAAATACTTAAATTAGGTACAGTATGGATTTTAAGATATGAATAAAATTGAAAAGTACTGCATCTTCATAGCTACTCACCTCAATCACATCAGCCGCAGCTCCAACAATGTAAGCACGTGCTTTAGCTACAACAGCTCTGGGCAGGATGGTGGCGGCATCATTGATCATGAAAGCACTAACGACAGCACCAACCATGAGAGGAGCTAAACAACAAAACTAATCAGTAAGTTTTCAGAGGAAACCATCTCCTGGCATGAAACACCATTGATAGATCAACGGAACTTTCTTACACTCATAAACATCCAAGAACATTGCTTTGCTGTAAAGAAAGCTAAGTTTGTCCAGTTTTGGGCTTAGTGTCTTGATGGCAACATTGCAAGCCGCAGCACTGAAAAAGACAGGTTTGGATTTTAGAAGTTAAAGTTTTAAACATCTATGTTGAAAAATATTACTGAAAACTCACATTAGAGCAAACTCAGGGGATTTGCTCCTTGTCAAGGATTTCATGTGCGAGTACACAAGACTGGCCACCTGTAGATTTAGTTCCTTCCGTAAAGCACGTGCAAGAGTAATAACCAGACCCAAGCTTGGCTTTGTCTCAAAAAGAACAATCCATGAGACCATGCGCAGCTCTGGGTGAAGATCTTTGTCCACAAAAATCTGCAGAACTACATTCTGGACCTGAAATGCAAAGCGAGATGCATATAATAACCAGTGTTGGGTGTAATGCGTTACTAAGAAATTAATTACTGTAATTTTATTTATTTTCCCTTGAAAAAGTAAAGTAAGGGTTTACTCAAACATTTTCTGTCATTTAATTACATGTAATTGCATTAAATACTGTATAGACTAAAGAACAATTATGTGGATTTAACAAAAATGTTGTGTCTAATGTTAAAATGTATGTTTTTAATGTAACCATCTCCCTTTAAATACTGTGGTCAGTTCAGAATAATTTATGTAAATTTATATTATTTATTTGAAAGAATTAAACGGGGTCATGAACTGCATTGTTTTATTGTTTTATAACATTCCCTGGGGTGCACTTATAATGTTGGTCCATTATACAATGTTTGTTTTTTACATCAAAAATGGTCATAATTTAGAAATAAAAGGCATTTATCCTACCCTGATTTTAGCCCTCTGATTTGAATGCTCTGTTTGAAGGGGCAAACTGTGAGACTGCAGTGTAAACGCCCACTGCTGTGATTGACTAACAAGGACGTTTTCAGCTCTGAAACCTACAGGATATTCTTGTGATGACCTTTTATATGTCAAAAGCTCAAGTAAAACTTGATTTCTCAGTTCATGACCCCTTTAAAAGAGTAGTTTCATGTCTGTCCTTGTATTGTTCAACTGGTCAAGGTTGATATGGGATTTAGAAAGTAATCAGTAACAAGTAATCCAATACTTTTTAGAAAGAGTAATTGGTACAGTAATCTAATAACCGTGTTGAAGATGTAATTAGTTGATAGAAATGAATTACTTTTTTAGAGTAACATACCCAACAGTTGAGAAACACTATAGTAAACCATTTGATCAGTATGACGAAGCATGACTCAAAAATCTCTGACTAACCAGTTTTGGTTCCTTTTTGGCAACGGCCTTCAGAGCCAAAATTGCACACACTTAAACTCTCATGGGAAGTTGAGGTATTTGGGTCCCAAATACTGGTAGAAACTTCGTGAAGTATTTAATGCTAGCAGGGTGACCGGCATTGCCCAGTACTTACAGAATCAAGGTGATCTCTGCAATGTCAGCCTTTGCAGTCGCCTCAGAAACAATCTCATGGATGGGCTAGAAGAAAAAGAGCAAGTGGTCCATATATCCACACAATCAAATAATTTAAAACTGGGATAGGTAACTTCAGTCCTGGAGGGCCACTGTCCTGCAGAGTATATCTCCAACCCTGATAAAAACTCACCAGCCTGTAGCTGTCTAGTAATCTTGAAGACATTAATAAGCTTGTTAAGGTGTGTTTGATTGGGGTTGGAGCTAAACTCTGGAGGACAGTGAACCGCCAGGACCAAGTTAACCATCCCTGATTTAGAATCATCTTTACCTTCAGAAGCTCCACTTGGCATTCAAGAGCATCACTGCAATACCTGGCAATCATTGTCACATAGCCAAGCATAGCCACATCACGTAGAATATCCTTTTATCACTAGTAAAATTAGATTAGCTTCTTGCGAAGATTCACATGTTGACTTGCTGAAATATCAGAAAAAGAGTAATATTCATTTAAATAGGTCCTACGGTGGCAATTTTGTCAAATTATGATATGCTGTGATATGCAATCAAATTATGTCATTTAAAAGTTGCAGGTTACTTACCCACAAGAGCTATAGTCAAGGCCAATACAACAGTTCTCATGATCAGCGGTTGTGCAAAAACACCATGTCTGTTTTAAAGTCAAGCTTTTGCTGGCCAAATACTGATCTCAAAATGTATGATTAACCAGTTGTGTAGCAGAACCAACCGGTTGTGTTTCTACTCCTGCCAGCTCATTGGTCTAACTTGGCAATCCAGTGGAACCTGGACTTTAGTGCTTAATCCTGTAATACTATATATATATATATATATATATATATATATATATATATATATATATATATATATATATATATATATATATATAAAGCATGTTATATTTATTATATATTACTCAAAATAATTATATTTTATTTAGTACTACTTGTGAGCAATCATATAGTTAAGAAAGCCATAATATCTCTCATGTAGTAAAAAGATTTCTTACATGAAGCAGAGGTATCATCCTGAAGTGATGACCAGCTGAATATACATTATTCTGCCTATTATGCACATTATTCGGCTACTTACCAAAAAATAAATTGACATGAAGTATTGATTTAAACTGTAATTATTTTATTATGCGGAGTGATACATGAGAATACAAAGTGTGGGAAATCGGTTGCTGGGGTGTGGACAACAATGAATTATGCAAGTTATATCTCCCAAATGCAATAATATGATTAGCTCACTAGAGGGTAACAGTGTGTTATTTGAACATGACAGTGGAATAGTGGACATCCTCTGTTTCTGTGGTGTATTTTTCACATAAGGCTGTAGGGATTGAAGATGCATCTTTTGTTTTAAAACTAATGCTGGAATATTGAATGTCTTGATTTTCGGCATCTGCTTTCTGCGTGAGGTCAGAGGATACTGCGTTATCGTGCACCGAGTCATACTGTTGGGGGAAACACATTAAAAAATTAGAAAAGTTGACTTTTTAAATAAATGTGTGTAAAACTACATTTAGTGTCATCCATTCTCACCAGCACCTCCTCCTTTTCAACCCTGTGGGTTTTAGACAAGGCACACCTTCTCCTCCTTAAAGAAACACAACTATTTATATAGTACACAGAGGGGTCCAAATTTGATAAAAAAATATATATTTACAAATTATATTAAAATATTATATGGTAACACTTTCTTCGAAGCCTGTATTTATAATGCATTACAATGGTATTCTTAATGCATTATAATACATGCATCATGCCTTATATACAACCTTAATATGTAATATCTTCTTATGAATAATCATAACAACAAGTACAATACATCATAATACTTACCTATTTGTGGTTATAACTTTTAAGAGTACAATGCATTATAACATCCTGCATTTATAATGCATCATAAGGGTGTTCTTAATGCATTAGAATACACACATAACAGTAATAATACTTACCTATTTGTGGTTATAACTATCAATATGATAATCATAATTTATAACACACAATGATTGTATGTAATGTATCCCATAGTTTAATATCTTTTACTTTCCCAAGTCTCATATCTTAACATTGTTTACTTAGATCTGCAAAGTATCACACTTCATCTTATGAGTGATCTTTACTGCTTAAAGTAAAGTGACAAAACAAAGTCTTCTTTTAAACATCTAAAAAGCTTTATAATGTGGTCAAACTATTTATAAGTGTTCTTTGTCTGCTTTAAGTAAAGTACTAAAAGTTAAGTCTTCTTTTAAACAGCCATAAGATATCATGAAGTGGTTATAAGTCATTTGCTTTGTACTTTTTTTTAGCTTGCTTCCAGTTTCCAGTGAGCTTAAAGGGACAGTTCACCCAAAAATAAAAATTGTGTAATCAATTATTCAACCTCACCCATTGACTTCCATAGTATTTTTCCTACTATGGCTGTTTGATTACCAACATTCTTTAATGTCTTATTTTGTGTTCAACAGAAGAAAGAAACTCATTCCGGTTTGGAAACAACATGAGGGTGAGTAAATGATGACAGAATTTGCATTTGTGTGTGAACTATCCCTTTAAACTAGGTCACAATGAAATTAACATTAACCTCATTGGAAACACTCAAATATGAAAGTACCAGTGAACCACTGAAAGTGCCAGGAACCACCCTAACACATTCTTCGCTGCCTTGTACATGACATTAGAAAATACAACTTACATGAATGTGGTTAACCAGACTGTAAAATAACGTATTTTTCTGCACTTTTGTGCACCTCAAGCTGTATATAACTGTTAATATTGTATATTTAAATGTATCTTTACTTATCATTTTCAAGACAAGAACAAAAATAACCAATAAGCTGGACATAAAAAAAAGTTAGCTGCATTCACTTTAACACTTCTAAATATCAATTGAAAATGTTTGTTAAAAAGGGAATGACCTCCTGATTTCTAGTTTCTTTTTGTATAAATATTAAGCTACCAATTAAATCTACATGCTTTTCCACTATATTACTACATATGTATTAGATTTGGCAAAGCCTCGTAATTTTTCAGTTTTTTATGAATAAAACATGATTTGCATTGTGAATGTATTGTTCTTTTGTACTTTTCCTCGCAACTTTGATTTTGACCTGAAGGGAAATGTCTTATAACTTCATGATATCTTATGGCTGTTTAAAAGACTTAACTTTTGTTACTTTACTTAAAGCAGACAAAGACCACTTAGAAATATTATGACCACATTATAAAGCTTTTTAGATGTTTAAAAGAAAACTTTACTTCAAGCAGTAAAATACCAGATGAAGTGTGATACTATGCATATCTAAGTAAACAATGTCAAGATATGAGACTTGGGAAAGTAAAATTGGGGATATATAATGCATTATAACTTAAGTGGATAAAATTACGTTCATTGTGTGTTATAAATGATCACACTCAATAGTTATAACCACAGGTATTACTGTTGTTATGATTATTTATGATATGATACAACACACAATAAGGCATTATGGGTGTATTATAATCCATTAAGAGCACCCATATGGTGCATTTTAAATGCATGCTTCATCTGTGTTATAATACATTGTACTCTTAAAAGTTATAACCACAAATAGGTCCGTACATATTATAATATATTGTACCTGATGTAATGATTATTTATAAGATGATACAACATATTATAAGGTTGTTATAATACATTATGCATGTAGGCTACTATTTACCTAACCATTAGGAATACCCTTATATAGTAATGCATTATAAATACAGGCTTTATAGAAAGTGTTACCGATTATATTTATATATTATCAAATTGCATTAAATTATTTTACAATTTGAGTCAACATTTTTAACAGATTAAATTTAATTTGTGACAAAATAGTGCAGAATCTTAAATAATTATATTTACTTTAGCTCATAATTTTAGGTTTTAGATTTTTCAAAATCATTCAACTTAAAACAAAATTTACTGACCTATACCACAGGACTCCTATGAACGCAAGAGTCAAAAACACACACAGTACGACTGCAGTGTTTCGTAGTGCTGTGCTCTCCTCTCGGCCTGTAAGCAGAAATTAATCATATAAGAAACACTCAGACTGCTGCAATCATTTCAGACTAAAGCACATGTATCATGAGACAAGTGTCACCTTCTACAGCACAGGAATACTCTTGAAGATCTTCATTGCTGACTGAGTCCAGGTACAGCTTGTTGGCTTTAGTGAATCCATCCGTTACCAGCCGTCCGTTCTTGAACCAGAAGTAAGTATGATTGTTGTTCAGGGTGCATTTAGTTGAACAGATTAATATCACTTCCTGTCCCTCTGATATAATGTTTGGGCTGCTTATCACTGTCATATCTGAAGAACAGAGTTGAAGTATTTCAAATTGGGCCTAACATTGATTTGGACTTAAAATGTGTATAGTATAGTATAAAATGGAGTATAGTTGATGGCAGTACATTTTCTGTGAATCTTCTAATTAAAATGTTATCAAATCCATCATGATCAGTTACCTGTAACAGTAAGAATGACTCCAGGTGATCCAGAGTATTTTCCTTCTGCTGTGTCAGTGATGATCCTGAATTTATATTCTCCAGAGTCGTTCATCTTGAGCTCTTTGATTCTCAGTGTGTTTCCCTCATACTCCACACGACCAGCAAACTGAAGCTCCTCACGCAGATCACTGAAGTCACCAGGCTGAACGTAATGCCAGAATGTTTTATCTACAGTATAACCAGAGGGATGTGAGTATGTGCTGGAAATATCCACTGTTGAGCCCATCAAAGCACAGACTCTTCTAGAGGAGTAAGACACATCCCAGCAGCCACTCTTAGAAATACCTGAAAGAGTCACAGATTAACATGTAAAACTCACACTTACTTTAAAACATGTTTAAATATACACATGGATGAACAAACAGTACCGCATTGTGTGTATTATTTGACACTCACACACAGAAGAGGAGCGATGTTTTAAGTTTATATCAAGAGCACAGGAATATCTGCCAGCCTCTGTGCTGGGTGACACAAGTATGTTGTTAGACCATGTATATCTTAAATACGTTCCATCCTTCATCCAGTAATAATTCCCAGCTCTAGAGGTGCAGGAAAAATCACAGGTCAGCTTTATACTCTGATCTCTCGGGTCTGTAGGATTCATTCTCACCTGCAGGACTGAATTAAAGTACAAAAATAAAAAATATTTCATCACATGACAAAAGAAAACAGCTGAAGTGACCAGAATCTAGACTCAGTTTCACCTGTGACTGTTAGATTGACGGCGACTGAGCTGAGATGTTTAACTCCATCCTTCATGATGAACATGAGCTGATATTCTCCAGAGTCTCTCTCTCTCAGGTCTGATATTGTGAGTGTTGAACGGTCTTTTAAGACCTCCTGCTTCACCCGTCCTGAGTAGTCCGAGTCTAAAGTCAAATCTTCAGGTTCATCATTCTTTCTCCAGTTTGAACTTTGTTTCTGGCTGACCCAGAACACAGTTTTGATGTTGTTGATGTTGGAGAAATAACACGTCAGTGTCTCCTGAAACTCCTTCACAGCACAAATATTCTTTTGACTACAGGACACAGAGAAGCGGTCCAATGTTACAAAGCCTGAACAAGAAAACATTTCATTACTGAGATGAAGTTTACATACAGACAGAGGAGAGATCCTCAATTGTTACAATCCAGATTCACCAATCTGCTGCTCACACACACACACACACACACACACACAAACACACACACAACCATGATGATTAATTGGCCGCATCAAAGAAATTTCAGCGGTTTCCTCTAGGTCTTCAGTTATTTCTTCAGTTACACTTCAGACTTCTTCGGGTCTGTTTTCTTTTGTTTGTCTTCTTTAGTCTTTGTTTTCCCTTTTCGTATTCTCGTTTGTTCATTCATTCATTTATTTTGTTGCATATACATTTATTCCGTGTAACTTTAGTCACCGGTATACGTAGTTTTCCTTTATTAAATCCATTATATTCATTTATTGACTCTGTCTATTGCTCATATTGCGAAGTCCCTAAAATGTTTGATCTAAGCTACAAGCTTTACAATTGTGGATACTTTAAATAGTATTTTTATAGAACAGGGAAGTTATTTTTCATGGCCAGAGAAATAGCCTTTCTTGAGAGTCTATAAGAAGGATAACTTTTCTTGGGGGTTGATGAAAGATCGTACGGTCAGTTTGCTGGACGAACAGATTATTCGATAACAAATGAATTCCATTAAGGGTTATCCTGAGAATCAATCTATTCTAGACAATTGATATATTCATATTTAATTATAATTCATTGTGATTGATTATTGATATATACAATTGATGTATTTTTGTCTACCTGTATGATAATTGATTATAATCCGTTGTATTTAGTTGTCCATACAGATACATTGGCAACGTATCCCCTTTACGGGTAATTTAATCTATGTATGCGATTCATGATCAGTTATTAAAATTATATTCCCTTTATTTGAGCTAGAATCGTTACATAAAATACACTGACATTGGAGAACAGAGAGGAAAGTTAAACTATACCAACATTCAGACTCACTGGACATTAAGTTAAAATCAAAACAATCACTTTTGGAACACGTGAAAGATAATTAGAGCCACATTTACATTAAAACCTGACAGATGAGAATAAGACATAATTGTCAAACCTGTATTGAGCAGCAGCAGCAGGATCAGAGGTAAGAGTCTGGAGTTCATGTTCTTCACTTTCTGTACATTCAGATTCAATGAAACACACAGAGCTGCTCGTCCTGAGAGAGAAAAAAGACACACTCATTGAGTTTGACTGAGACACTTGAAGGGTGTTTACAGTCAGAATCATGAATCATGTAACACACTTCAGAAAATCATGCTTAAAATGACATTTAATGTAATGTTTAAATGCAACGAACGATTAGATTTACCTACATTACATGTTGCTGTTGTTCTCTGATGTTAGTTGTAGTTTCTACTGTCTGTTTTAGAAGCTGTGCAGACTTTCTGATGATCTTATTTCCTTCCCCTTTCTTACTAACTCACAAAAAAAGGAGATGCTTACGCTTCAGAAAATGTTTACTGTCAAACTCAGCTCAGGAAGTCAGTATTAGCCATTATGTTACATGATCTTATTAATCAGTTTAAATAAATTAAACCTTGAGTTTTATTATTTTCTATTTTTAAGTAAAATTAGATATAAATCTAAACAGACACAAAATAATAATATTTATAAATATTCCAGAACTGCATAAATTAAAGGCAAATATTATGTAATTATTTCTCCTAAAATAACTTTTATTTTATTTTTATAGGCACAGGATTATGGGAAATCATACAAAGATACATTGATGCTGCATTCAATAACCAACAGCATGAATCATAGTGATGCATGAATCATTTCTTGCTTATGTTTTATCCTTTACTTATGTTTTATCCTTGAATCATTATGTAACGTTGAGGCAAGGACGAAGCAGAGAGAGAAACCAAAGGCAAGCTCTATTTTAATAAAGTTAAAAGGTCATCCAGGGCAAACAAAGGAACACGGAACTCAAGACAGGAACATGGAGACAGCTACAAGCAACAACGACCGACAACCAACAACTGAAGCACAGAGGTTTAAATACACAGACAAACAAGCTAAACGAGATAACAAGGGGGCGGGGCTAATTAGAAACACCTGGAGAGACTCATAAACAAGAAAATCTAAAAAGGACTACAAAACATGGCACAGAACAGGAAATAACTAAAGTCCACACAAGACAAGGAAAACACAAGCCAGGAATCGTGACACATTATATATCTTAAGTATCATTTAATCAAATGTAATCAATCAATATTTTAAGAAATGATTATTATCATGTTGATGTGTTTCTCATTACTATCATTTTGATGTGTTTACCATTATTATCATTTGAATATGTTTAATGATTTCTTTTATTAATCTTTAATTTAAAAAAGTCTATAAGTTTCCGAAAGACAGACCACAAATGCTCCACATATGGAACTTCCGGGAGACTTGGGATGTCTGCATCTTGCAGTGTATGGGCTAACACCTCCGAGTGTGAAAACATGAACACTAGATATGTGTGTGTCTTGTGTGTCTGCTTCAATGCAATATACTATGAAAAGAGGAACTTAGCCCTGTTCCGATAAGCAACTGTATAATATGGAGATCAGTTTCTGCACAGTCTAAACCTCTGGAATCAGACCTTGCTCATTTGCAACCTGTCTTTTCAAAGAGAGATCTCTAAACCAATGTTCTTTAGGCTAAGCCTTTAGGCTTAGGCTATCTTTAGGCTAAGAATATTTAGAGTGTGTTAATTATATCTTACTGTTCCTTTTATGTTTCTTTATTAAACTTGTAATCCGGATTAATTAATTTTACTCTTCATTTATTATTTGATTGTCTGCTGTTAAGAAATAAAATTTGACTGGATCTCCTCCCTGTATCACGAAAGACAGAATGTTACGGTATGATGTTTTTCTCTGACATACAGTAAATATAAAACGCTAATGTTCGATAAGAATGTCTTATACTTCAGCAGCAGAAAAACTCAAAGGTCAACAGAGATACAAATTTAAAGGATATTTCACCCACAAATGAAAATTGTGTCATCATTTACTCACCTTCATGTTGTTCCAAATCTATATGAGTTTCTATATTTTGAAGAATGTTGGTAATCAAACAGTTGATGGACCCCATTGACTTCCATAGTAGGAAAATGGAATTTAATGATTACCATCAACTGTCTGGTCAAGACAATCTGCTAAAGTTTAAACCGAGCATCAAAATGGGGAAGAAAGGTGATTTTAGTGACTTTGAACGTGACACTGTTGTTGGTGTCAGACGGGCTGGTCTGAGTATTTCAGAAACTGCTGATCTACTGATCTAAACTGCTGATCTACTGGGATGCACAACCATTAGGGTTTACAGAGAATGAACCGAAAATGAGAAAATATCCGGTGAGTGACAGATCTGTGATCTGGCGAAAATGCTTAAAGACAGATGTCAGAGTAGAATGGCTAGACTGGTTCCAGCTGATATAAGGTAACAGTAACTCAAATAAGAAAATAACATCTTTCTTTTTCACTTTAAAACAATGGTCCAGATCACTAGTAGTCCTTGAAGAGGGACTGGGTAACACTTGAGTTATTAGTGATGCATTTTATTAACACGTTGTCGTTGAGAGTAAAAAAAGACAATTACTCACATCTCAGACACGTTAATGTTGTGATTAGTAATTAATTAGTAATTCTTTTTTTGTTTAAAAATCTTATAAATGTATGAGGTGGCAAGGGAGGCCAAGGGAGACCCCACACATGGGATAGAGGCTCATCAGCATGGGGCTAAAGGCACACCATATTTATACAGATACTATCGCTAAAAATAATAAATAATAAAAATGTGTTTTTAATAATAATAAGTTAATAATATGTTTTTAATATCTAAGTTAATACCTTTTCAAAACAATCACTAATAGCAAAGTACTATTGTCTTTTTATTTTGATAAATAAGAATTCATTTTTGTTCAATAAATATACTTTCATTAAAATATTAAAAAAAAACATTTTAAAAAGTAAAGATTATGAAAGCATTGAAGGAGATGCCATAATAATTTAATATAGATTTACAGTAGTAACAATAAATTATATTTTATTATATATGATTAATATCATATTTTAAAAATATGATTGTTTCATCAAGGTGGACACCCAACTTAATATATAGGCCTACCAGCTGAATCTAACCATGTCCATAAAAGGAAAAGTCAGCCAGATATTTATTATCATGTTTATTAGTGTCTTTTGCCCCAACAGAAGGGGCGGGGCGCCTTTTACCCCAATACCATACTTATACATATTTTCCCGTATTAATAATTACCTTGAACAAAACTGAAAATCATTAAGACGACCTTTGTCTCAAAATATAAACATTAATTTTATCGATTCTCATTTGCTACTTAAATCTACAACATTTTAAAAGCATCAAATATTAGATCAAATTAGCGCAGGATAAACTTTGCGCTGCTGCCCGCGATTGTGTCAGGTCCGCCAAATTTCTACTTGCATCTTGAAAAGCGGATATTTTTGTTCCATCTGGTTTAGAGGAAAATAAAATCAAACTAGCCTTTTCCCCCGCGGTGCATTTATCCCCGTTGTACCAGGCTACTACTCCTTAGTCCTGCATTACTTCCTGCATTAATGACAGACTATTTTTCTAAAGTGTTACCATTCAATCTTGTAAAAATAAAGCTTGAACTTATAGGTTTACTTGAATTGTTTGTTGTTTCAATCATAATCAAAAACTATACATTGATTGTTACCGTTATTGGGTATGTTGTAGATTTTTTCCCTAAACCTAACTATGTACCTATAGGTACTTATACTCTAGCGTGCCTATACATTGACGTTAGCTAAGTTTACACTCCAGCGAGTCTTCAGTCGACTACAGCCGAGTCTAATCTGTAATTCTAATTTACTTGCTTGCACAGCTTAGATGACAGACAGACTTGAGTAATTGTCCTTTAAATGCTCTTTATTACGGCCGGGAGAGCAGTTCTCAGAATTTCAACCCAAAAGAAAAATACAACAAGCTTTATAGGATAAAGCCAGA